CCACGAGCTGCTGGTGCGGGCCCACACCCAAGACGAGGTGACAAAGAGAGGTCGATGGGCCACATATCAGGCCGCGAGGCGGTACGCCAAGGGAGGACGGATTCAAGAACAGTTGAACATGCTCCCACACCACATTCAGGGCACCGCGAAGCGAAGCCTCGATACGATTGGCGCCGTCCTCTGCGCGACCTAGCTCGATTTGTGAACGAATCTGGACAGCAAGTGATGTTGGAAGTTTTCAGTGGAAGCGGCAACCTCTCTCGATCGTTTCGGTTAGTCCTGAAGGGTCTCGCCTGCTTCGAACTGGACATTATTCATGACGCTGCTGCCGATGTCTTGTCTAGCAAAATTCAGAAGTTGATCAGGGGCTGGGTGCGAAGCAAGATGCTCCTAGGTGTGTGGATAGCTACTCCGTGTCAGTCAATGTCGCGGGCTCGTAATCGGCCTAATGGACCTCCGCCGCTTCGAGACGCTGAGCACCCCCTCGGACTCCCTCACCTGAATCCCGCCGACTGTCTGAAGGTTGCCCGTGGTGACCGTCTAGCCCGTTTCAGCTTTGGCCTCTTTTCCCTGTGCAGATCCCTTAGAGTCCCTGTAGTTATCGAGAAACCTTCGACCTCTTGGCTTTGGAGTCTCACTGGGGCCCAAGCGCTCGCCCGTTCCAGTAACGTGCTCGATCTAGATGTCGATTTCTGCGCTTTCGGAACCCCGTGGCGTAAACGAACCCGCCTTCGGTTTTGTCATCTCGACCTTGCCGGGCTCAAAGGGGCCCGATGCCAAGGCCGCGGCGTTTGCAGTTTTTCGAAGTGCCCGCATAGGGTGCTTGAAGGAAAAGACAGTTCTGGGCGATTTCTCACCCACATCGCCGAGCCGTATCCCAGAGGGCTCTGCGTGGAGCTTAGTAGAGCCTACAAACAAGCGTTGCGGAATAACGCTTTCTGCACTTTAACTAGATATGTGGCCTGACTGGTTCGGAGTTGTGATTGCCTCGCGGTGGAAACCTTTGCGAGGCTGTGGCATCTAGATGCGAGCGGCTCTGGGCCGCAATCACACAGATTGTCAGCATGGTCGGTCTGGGGCAAAAGTGCTGTGAATATGTAAGGCTGGCGCCCAGGAACCCGCCAAGCATAGATTGCTCTGGCGTGCCTGGTGTTCTCTGCGAGTCAGGGTGAGAGGGCGCCGTTGCGACCGTTGTTGCATCAATGCTCAAGCTTCCCTCCCTCGGCCCCCTTTGTCCCGCCCTGCTGTTAGAGCCTTTCTACACTTGCACTGAGTTGTGATTGCCTCGCGGTGGAAACCTTTGCGAGGCTGTGGCATCTAGATGCGAGCGTCTCTGGGCCGCAATCACACAGATTGTCAGCATGGTCGGTCTGGAGCAAAAGTGCTGTGAATCTGTAAGGCTGGCGCCCAGGAATCCGCCAAGCATAGATATATGCATCGCGTGTGCACTTTTTGTCCAGCTTGCACAGGAAGGGCCGCAGCGTCAGACGCGTATCAGGCCATCGGCCACACCGCCACTCATAAGCGACGGCGACTTCGGTAAGTGTGCCATATGGCTGGACCAGTTCATGAACCACGACAAGGTCTGGCGCCTCCAGTGCGGCCACCTATTCCACGCACAATGTTGGGATCGAGTGGTACACGCTCATGTGGATAGACAGTTGGCTGGGAACATGGAAGGTTCCGCAAGCGAGGCCCCTCTGCGCTATGTGCAGGGGTGTTGGCCGCATTACTGCCGAGTTCCACCACTCCCTTGCTGGAGATCAGGAGACGCCCAACCGTCACGAAGATAGACTCCGAGGGGCGAACGAGCTCAGGGACCCCCGTGAAGAGCTCAACCGCGTTACGGCGATGATGACGGGCACCGCGGCAGTCTCGATGACGACACCAGCGGGGCAACCTGCGTCACCAGCCGACGCGGGGCTAGTAACGGAGGCAGCCACCCTTGCAGGGACACCTGCTATAGACATGCCTATACCATTGGTGGCAGAGACCAGTAACAACGCAGGGACACCTGCTAGATCAGCTCCACCTTCGGCGCCGGTGAACGATACGTGGTTGAGGCACATGGAAAGGGCTGGCGGCAGGAGCGCTCAGTGGCATCAGTCTTCGCACGCATACATGCCATATGGGCGAGATATTCGTCCACGCAGTCAACGCAGGACGGAGAGCCCTGTAAGCATGCGCGGTGGCAATAGTGGGATATCCGAACGCGATATGCTGCATACCGTATTTATGATAGATACTGATGGTCAGATGGGCATGTACGCGGACGGGGGCACGTTCCTGAACTTACCCACATCGCACCCATATGCTTATGACGAATAGCATGCAGCCTGGATCTTTGAAAATGATCCTATTACGGAAGGAGGGGCTCGTGGGTATATGATTTGTTGTTCACATCTTTGTCACGAAATGATTGGGTGTTGGAGCGTAGGCGCCGCAAAGGCTTGAATGGCACGACAGTGTCCGGAGTTGCTGGACTATTTGGTAAACGCCTAGTAGTGGAACTATGAGCAATGGTATGTTGATTATTATTTGGGATATTGTCAGTAAAATCAATATTATTGGATTAAAGACGGCACAGACCTTTGAGCAGGTATCGCGCCCCTACGGGCACGCCATGAAAAGGCTGAGCCGCGCGAGGAGGCTTTTCGTGTCAGGAGTGGGACGCGGCGCCGCGATCTGTGATACATCCCTGCGTTGCGCGATCGCATGCAAAGAAAGGGGAGCTGTTGCGGGGCAATCTGCTGTGCCGAGACTCGACGCGTACTTAGCGCATGTAGCTGAGGGTTCTGGGGGGAACCTCCCTGCCATCCTGGGTCTGAGGAACATGTTCAACATGGGGGCCATCCTGATCCTTGGGCAGTTGCGCGAGAAGATGATCATCCCTGGCGTGGAGATGCATATGGTTCTACTCGGAAAAGGTGCCAGCGCATTCGACCTGATGAAGACACCTTCCGGGCATCTGGCACTCAAGGCTGGCGAGTGCGAGTTGGCCACTGAGGATCAAGGGCCGATGTCGTTTACTATCGCGGCCAATCCTCAGCGCGAAGAAGCTCCATTACTCGTCAAGGAGGTATCCGATCCAGAGCCAATTGCAGGGGCGCCTGCTGTGAACGATGCTCACGCATACATGATGTCACAAGATACGAAGGGCACCGGTTTTCCTGTCAACGACAAGACGTTCACTTTCACGATCCAGTACTTGGTGAACAACACCTGGAAGACATGGCATCGCAGGAATATGTCCTTTGGGACTACCCCTACCTCGGCCGACAGAGACTTCGCCTTCCGCAATTTGCAGGCGAAGATATATCAGGCCATTTACGAGGAGGGCACGACGTGGACGCCTCCCGACGCACAGGCAGGGACACCTGCGGACAGGGGTGACGGCGCTGAGAAGTTTGATAGTTTTCGTTTCGAGCAGCGGCTCTGCAGCGCAGCATGGCACAGGCATTTGGGCGCTCCATCGCCAAGCAAGTGGCGGAGGCAGGCGCGTGCCACGGCCACTCGCGCTTGCTCAGACAGGCCGAATGCTCAGGTGCTGTCAGCAAGCGCAGGGACACCTGCATTCTTTCCCCAGGCGCCGGCCGCGCGTGCCAGGGGCCGCGGCAAGCCCGGCTGCGCGGCTGCCACGAACAGCAGTGGACCCGGCTGTGTGGCCGCTGCAGAAAATGAAGGGTTGTCGCATCATTATCATTCCCGTGCATTTGTCATTGGGAATATACGGGCAGCTTGCGCTGAACTCCGAGCCCGAGGATACATGTGTGACCGTATTAAACGCGCAGAGGTAATGACCTCCACTGGTGCACAGTATTTGGGTGCATTACTCTCGGGCGATTGCCAACTGTCGCGGGCGGCAGCGCCTGCTGACTTGGCATGCGATGCTGCCTGGCAAGAGGGCACGGCCACGCTGCCAGCGCATCCCAAGTCTGATCTCCCAGGCTCGGGCTCTACGCATGAGAAGTGTACTTGTGGAGCCGCCCGGATACTTCTGGACACGGGGCCCCATGCGAGATGCCATTGAAGATCTTGAATTGCAAGTCATGCGCGTGCGTTTCTGCCACTTCGGCCTCAAGTGCGACCGCGCTAACACGTTGCCCAGCGGATCGTACTTGCAAGTGGCGACTACGTGCGCGCGCATCCCCGCCAACCTCTGGCGATGCGCTTGCAATATAGCAGGGGGGCCTGCAGAACCTACTGGGCATATTCTAGACTGGCATGGACAAGGCGCTCGGAAGGCCGAATGGCGCAACACGGCGCTAGCGATCACGACGGCAAGGTCAGTTGATCAAATTGTCTTACATAAAACGCACAGAAATCGCACAACTGGTGTGCATCGTAGTATCTATACTCGAGTTGATAAAGGAGCTCGAGCATACGCTCAGTCTTCTAAGATTGGCTGTGAAATGTTGCACGCGCATGTCTGCAGCAACTTGCACGGACGGCGCCTCGCAGACATCACCGCGCGGAGACCATCCGCCTTTGCATTTTTTGCTGCCGTTGTGTTGCATCGCATTGTGTAGCATAGCATGCTTACTTTGTTTGTTGCCACTGTGTTGCATCGTGGAGCTAAAATTCTCTTGGAGCTAGAATTCGAATTCTCCGGCCGGTCGGCTGGGCCGCCTTTGGGGCCCAAACTCGAACTTTCCGGCCGGTCGGCTGGCCCCGCGTGAGACGCGGGTCTGGGGGTGTAGCACTAGTTCACGTTATGTTGTAACCCTGCATAGCTCCATTTGGCCGGATTGGCGCCGACAGAATGCACCACGCGAATCGCGTGCATGAGCCTGGGGGTACACCGAGGAGCGTGCTGCCGTGCGGCGCCTCCCCAGTGACCCCCCTTCTGAAGGACGTGGTGGTGTGGGTGCTGTGGCGTGGTGCCTCCCCCAGTTCGGAGGGGCGCCAGGATGCGCGCTGCCGTGCGGCGCCTCCTTGACGTTTGCCCTCCGTTCTGAGGGTTTGGCTGCTGCCTCTCAGCGCCCCACCCCATGGTCCTCATGGCTCTTCTCTTGCACGGTCTTGGCTCGGACATGGCTAAGCTTGTGTCCGTAGCCCTTGGGGCTCAACGAGGGGCTCTGCGCACACGGAGCCAACAGAAAAACGAATTCGATATCTTACCGATCCCACAACCGATCAGCCCGCGTGCCTGGCGCTCCGGCTGTTCACAGGTTAGGGGCCTTGCGCTCCCCAGCGCGTGCCACGCAAGAGATCCGTCGAGAAGCTGCTCGACGGCGCGCTGAAGCGCCACGAGAAGCTTGACGAGCGCGCCCGCGCGCGCGAGGAGACAGCAGCCAGCGCCCATCGGCTGCTCGAGGAGCACTTGAACGGCGCCCCCGGCGCGGCAGCCCAGGTTGACAGAGGGGGGGTCCTCATCGCCTTGCGCAATGCGGCCAACAGGGGCCATATCGCCGTCTCCAGCGAGGTCGAGGGCGAACCCCTACCCGTCGGCCTCGTCCGCCGGGCGACCTCCACTGCCCCCGCCGCCAGCTCCGGCGCCTCCTCCAGCTCCGGTTCAACTGCAGCGCGATGCCGCGGACCATGGGCGTGAGGGAGGAGGAGGATGCGGAGGAGGAGCAGGTGAAGTGCTGCTGCCTTCGCTGGCGGACTTGACGACGATCGTGGCAGCTCCAGCTGTCCTCGCGGCCGCCCCGCCCCAGCATGCAGCTTTGGCGCCACAGCCAGTGGCTCCACCAGGAGGGGTAGCAGGAGGAGGAGGAGGTGCCGTAGTGCAGGGCCCCGGGGAGGACCTGGACCTCACCATGGAGCTGAGCAGGGTCACCAACTTCGTGGACGCGGAGGCCGAAATGCACAGCCGCGTCGTCGTCTACGAGGAGCAGTTCAAAGCCAGGGCGCTGGCCGAGGCTCGGGTGGCGGTCGCCTCCCACGAGGCCGCGCTCGCCGAGCACTTCGCCGAGGACCGGGCCCGCGCGCAGACCGAGGTCGGCAGGGCCTTTGCCGTCGCGCAGGCCCGCGAAGGACAGTTGGCGGCCGAATCGATGGCCATCGCGACCCAGGGCGAGGTGCACTTCAAGGGGCAGGCTAGGGATGGGCTTCGGCAGTACGAGGCGCCCCTGCTGCAGCAGAGCACCCAGGACCAGCATGCGTCTATGAGGAGGTCCGTGCACGAGCTCGAGTTCTACTTCGACGGCATTTTCCGCCAGCGGGTGCACGAGATGCAGGAGGAGTACCAGGACCACCACCGTGCCGCGACGGCCGAGATGAAGGCCGAGGGCCAGTCGGAACTCTTGAGGGCTGAGGCGCACATCGGCGCCGCGCATCACAGGACACAGGCGGAACTCCGCCTCGAAATCGCGGAGATCGCCTCTTTGCGAGCGCGCGCGGAGGCAGGCGAACGCGACTCTTATCGAGCAGCTCGCTACGCATCACGCCGCCACGAGTTGCGTGAAGAGCAGCTTGAGGCCGAGATCGGTGCCGTGAGAGACACCATCCAGACCGAGATGGCCGACCAGGGCGCCCTGCGTCGCTGTGAACTCCGCGCGGCCGAAGAGGCAATCGCCTCAACCAGGGCAGAGGCCCGAGAAGAAATCGCCGCCCTCGCGAGACCACGCAGGTGAGGGTCAATGAGTGGGCAAATTCGCTCGTTCAGCAGAGCGACGCCCGATGCCGAACCCTCGCCGAGGCGGAGAACGAGACCGTCGCCGAGCTTCAGGATGTCCAGTCCGAGCTGCAGCAGGTTGTCACGGAGGTGGAGGAGCTCAAGATGGCATCGTCGGCTGCCGGCGAGCGGCGGCCGGGAGTCGCCTGCCGCGCTGAGGTCCCAGCTCAGCCTTCATGGGGCGCGGTGCCCACAGTGACGCCGCACATAACCCCCATCGCCATGCCGGCGGTCCCAGGCACGCAGCTGCGCATGCGGCCGCGAAGCGACGGCGCCTCGCCCACAAGCACCATACCGATGACGAGCTTCGGAGGTCCAGAGAGGCCTCCTCAACCAGCGAGCCTGCGGTCCGCCATCTCGCCTAGTCAGGCTGCGGCGGGGATCCGGGCGCAGCCAGTCCAGCAGACCCGCTCGATTGACGGCGCGAGCTCCGATGAGTCGTCGGGCGAGGAGTTCGCCCGGAAGCGCACGAAGGTGACGCAGATCGACCTCGGTTCGCCTCCAGCTCCAACTGGTTTCAGGACATGGCTGAACGAGGCGTACACGGCATGCACTACTGCATTAAGCCGACCTCAGAGGCGTACCATCCGATACCTCAAGTACGCCGAGGAATTCTACCAGCCAGACATCATGCCGCTGCTGGAGGCCCCGAGGAAATGGAAGGCCTTTGACGAGGAGCTCTTCGCGGCGGTGTTGCGCTACGCGTCTGGTGAGCTCAAGCGTTCCTTGTTGACCTACCGGGGGCAGTGCTATCGGAGTGGGCGTGAGCCATCTGGGAGGTACGTGTTCTACTGCGCACTCCAGAAGTTCACCCTCGAGCGCGGCGCCGCGACCCAGGTCGACATCTCGAAGCTTATGGCGCACGAGTACAAGGGCGACCTCAGCCTCTACTTGGATGGGTTGGACGCGATTCTCACGCAGTTGAAGGGCCCGCCTGAGGAGACGTTCCTGCGCGCTTGCGTGGAGCCGCAGCTGCGGAAGTGCAAGCAGTTGGAGCTCGATTTCAAGCTCTATGACAGGGCGCCCGACGGCGCTGCGGAGAAGACCGCGCAGTGGCTATATGACGTGGCGCGCGCTCATTGCCGTCGAGCCGGCGCTGGACGAGGCGTCTGCGATCGCGCCGCTCCCAGGAGCAGCGGGGGAGGACTGTCAATCTCTTCTGGCCGGCGTGCAGCGGCTTCTCGACGAGGCCGAGCGGACCGAGCACGAGCTCGAGGCGGACACCATTGCCGACGAGTCGAGCTTCGCCGTCAAGACCGTCGAGCCGAAGGACGAGGAGCAGGAGTATCGCATGCCGTGCCACGACGTCAACTCGGCCGCGCACAACAGCATGCACCTGCCTCGGCTCAAGGGCTGCCACATTTGCGACGACAGCAAACACCTTCATAGGTACAAGGTGCGGCGCAAGGAGCCCATGATTTACGTCACTGGCAAGGGCGCGATCGACAAGCCCTTCGGGGCGATGTGCCACTTGGACTGGCTGGAGATCCGCAGGGGCACCCCAGCCTACAAGACCGCACAGCGCACCCTCATGCTCACCGACGACTTGACGCAGTTCATGGGCGCGGGACCTTCGAACTCGAAGGAAGCCAGGGTGGTGGTGGAGCTGATTCATCGTTTCGACGAGCTGCCGCCGTTGATTCGCAGGTGGTGGTCCGACCGCGCAGCCGAGTTCTTGGCGGCCGCCCGGATCATCAGGGCCCAGCGGCCTCTTGCCCACTTCGCTTCAGTGCCGTATAGGCACGCTCCGAGGGCCGAGCGATCTAATCGCACCGCTTCCGAGGGGACTCGTGCGGCGCTCATCCAGTCTGGCTTCGATGAGGCTTGGTGGCCCATGGCACTGCTGTTCTGGATCTCCCAGTGGAGCGGCTTCATGGTCGGGGCCGACGGCATGGCCCCCTACTTCCGACGGCGCAACCAGAAGGCTCCCTACATGCAGTACGCGTTTGGGGCGCTGGTGCTCTTCCACCCTGTCCGCCCGGTGAAGGAGCAGAGTGCGGAGCCGCTGCGCGACAAGCTGCAGTCGCGCTTGGTCCCGGCGGTCCTGTTGGAAGTCACGATTGGTCCAGGGGGGAGGTGGGCCTCGAGCTACGGCGCGATCCCTCTCTCCAGGTTCACCTCCGATCGTCGGCCGGCCAAGGCTGCGATCAGGAGGACGTGCGACGTCGTCTTCCCAGAGGACGTGACCTTCCCGCTCAAGCAGCGCCTCGCGATGCACGGAGCGACGGTCGACAAGTCGTTGCCGGCGCCGCAGGCGAAGGAGGATGAGGAAGGGAACTGGGCCATGATGGAGGAGGAGGGGGAGGTTGACGTCGATGCGGAGTACTTCGATGGGAAGTGGAAGGAGAATGCCGCCAAGTTCGAAGCGTCGGTCCCGCTTGGACACGTGCTGGCGCTGGAGCAGGAGGTGGACGACGAGGGCGAGACGAAGCCCGACACAGACGAGTTCATGGTCGAGTTCCCGTCCGTCGACGCCGACCGCCGGGACGCGGAGCAGGCAGCGGAGGACATCAAGCCAGATATCACCGCCATCGAGGGGGGCAAAGCGCCGCCTGGCTGGAGGGTGGATCATTTCGGCAGGGGCGACAGAGTACGCCTTGTGCATGTTCCCCCATGGTCTCGACGCCCACCAACTTGTGAACCAGAGGTGTGGTGTGGCATCGGTCGGCGCGCCCAGCGAGATCTTCGTGACGAGTGGAAGGAGAAGGATGCGGAGGGCTTCAACGAGCAGGAGGTGAGACGATCTACGTCAAGGCGAAAGGGAAAGGGATCATCCACCCAACTGCGCCCATGGTTGCGGTGGCCCGACAGCCAGTCGATGGGGCCCCCGACGGCGCATCAGAGCTGCAGCCAGAGACGGGCGCGAGAGGTGGTGGATGCTCCCAGGACTACATGCACGAGCACCGAGTACCTGCACAGAGTGTGGGCGGCAACTCTGCCGAGAGCCTTGTGCAGCAGGTGCGCAACATGGTCATGACGGGCGACTGCATGTTCCTGTTGATAGAGTTGGGATGCGCGGACGACAGCGAGCTAGCTGCGAACGTCCGCGAGCACTGCCTTGCCGTTAGGATCACTGCCAAGGTGGACCTCACCAAGAAGAGCACCAAGAAATTGCTGCACGCATTGATCAGGTTTTGTGCCCTTTTCGCTGTGGAAGTGCACATTTGGGTATCAATTCCTTGCACCCGCGGGGAAGTTACAGTGGACGTCGACCTCACGAATTCGTTGATAGCCGCGGCCGTTTCGCTGTGCGAGCACGCCGCCAGAAGCCAGAACACGCTCAGTTGGGAGTGGCTGGAGTGCAGCGAGCTGTGGGAGAACGAGGCCGTGAATGGCATGTTATCCCGCCAGGGCGCGGTGAGCGTCCTCGTGGCGTCGGCTGCGGTAGGCATGTCTATCACCCTCAAGGGCCGGGACGTGTACGTCGACATGAAGTGGAAGATCGCGACGACGCACCCGGGCGTGCCCATTGAGCTGGAGAGCCACGCCGAGATCCCAGATCACATCCCGAAGTCTGCCTTCGTGGAGTGCCAGGGTCGATTCGCAGCCGCCAGCGCGCTGTACACGAAGGAGATGGCGATGCTCATCTGGCAGGCGTTGCGGCCTACTGCCCCGCGCGTGGCCCCATGCGTGGTCTTCGATCGTATCTTGGAGCGCGTGCTGCCGCCAGGGCCGCCGAACATGCCTTTGTGGTGTTGTCTCATTACGCGCCTAGTCAACATTTCTCGGAGGAGGCCAAGACCGATAGGGCGAAGCAGGCCATCGACGCGGAGCTTTCTGGACACGATCGACGCGGCACTTGGGATAAGAGCCGGGTCCGGAGCCTCCGAGATTGGATGAGCGATGCCTCATTCAAGGACGTCGTCGTCGGCAGGGTCTTCGTCATCTTAGGATGCAAGAACTCCGAGATGTCTGAGGACCAGTGGAAATACCGTGCACGCGCAGTGTTCCAAGGGAACAACGTATGGACGCGGACTGGCAGGAGCGCCTACGAGATCTTCGAGGATGTGTCGAATTCCCCCGCCAGCCTCATAGCGGCGCGTTGCGCCTTCGCGGTCTCGCTGATGAAGCAGATGACTTGCACGTACCGCGACGCATTCCAAGCGTACCTGCAGGCGACGATGGACACAGGCACGGACCCTGGCGTGATCAACCTCGTGGAGCTTCCGCGCGAATGGTGGCCCAAGGAGTGGTTCTACGACGAGGCCTGCACCCGGCCGCGATACCAACGCCCAGCTGTTCCTCTAGTCTACGCGCTCCCGGGCCATTCCAAATCTGGGAACATATGGGAGACGCACGCCGACACGGTATTCGTCATCAAGCTCACCGGCTGGAAGAAGGTCGAGGGGTGGCACAGCGTGTGGGTGCACTGCGACGGGAGCACCATGGTGATCTACGTGGGCGACTTCATGTTGGCGGCGACGGCAGCGAACGCCAGGAAGCACTGGGAGGAGCTCGGCCGGCGCATCGTCTTTCAGGAGCAGTGCGCCGACGTCTTCCGGCACGTGGGGGCGATCTACAACTTCGACAAGGTGGACTACCAGCGCCCGCTGCAGCCCAGGACGATGGTTACGAATATGAGCAGCTATCTTCTCAATGTGGTCAAGAAGTTCACTGGCGAGTACACGGGGGCCCTGAGGAAGGCGACGACTCCATTCCCTCCAGAGACCGAATCCTGGGCGCCAGCGGACGACGAGCCAGGAGTTTTCCAGACTTCTGCTGCTTCGTTCGTCGCTTCTGGACTTTATGCTAGTCTGGTCAGCCGCCCGGACCTCAGTGTTGCCATCCAGCGTCTTTGCTCGCGTGTGACAAAATGGTCTGTGACAGATGACGTGTCCCTCATCAGACTCATGGCTTACATGCAGGAGCATCACGACCTGGAGTTGTGCGGCACTTTCGGGCCGAGCGACCTGGGCGACTTGGAGATAGGGCTCTGGCCAGACGCAGATTGGAATGGCGATGCCAATGCAACGAGGAGCACGAGCGGTGTATTTTGTGAATTGCATGGCGTGGGACCTGGAAACACGTTTCCTTTGACGTGGAAGGTGTCTCACCAAACGGCCACGGCGAGCAGTTCAGCGGAACCGCAGACGGTCAGCGCATCCAGCGCAGTCAGACACGTCGCCCTTCCAATCCTGACGTTGCTCGAGGCCCTCCTGGGCACGCTGGTGCCGATACGGCGCAGCGTCGACAACACGCAGGCGATCGCTGAAAATAAGAAGGGCTACAGCAAACGCCTTCGTTGCTTGTCTCGAACACATCGTTGTTCGATCGGTCGGGGCCATGAACGAGATCTACGAGGGCCCCGAGGCAGCCCTGGACGTGGTGTACGCTCCGACGGCGCCTCACAAGGGCGATTTCTTCACCAGAGCCTTGAACCCGACCCCGTTCCATCAGGCTCGGGCGCGCATAGGTATGAGGCGCAACGCATCTGAAGCTCAGCAGTGATTGGCTTGATGTCGCATTCCCTTCCATTTCCTCTCCTCTTTTTTCCTTCTCGAGCCTGGTACGGTACGGAGCCAGAATGGCGGCTGGCCTGGACTACAGGCCCGCCTCGGCTCGCGCCAGTTCTTGTGCGGATCCGAGCCTAATACATGTACACAGCCGAAGTTTCACGACCAGATGTTCTGCCAACCGACTTGGTTGCACGTCCGCGGCGGCCAGGACTGGCGATTGCCGAGGGGGGTGTGAAATGTTGCACGCGCATGTCTGCAGCAACTTGCACGGACGGCGCCTCGCAGACATCACCGCGCGGAGACTATCCGCCCTTGCATTTCTTGCTGCCGCTGTGTTGCATCGCATTGTGTAGCATAGCATGCTTACTTTGTTTGCTGCCACTGTGTTGCATCGTGGAGCTAAAATTTTCTTGGGGCTAGAATTCGAATTCTCTGGCCGGTCGGCTGGGCCGCCTTTGGGGCCCAAACTCGAACTTTCCGGTCGGTCGGCTGGCCCCCCGTGAGACGTGGGTCTGGGGGTGTAGCACTAGTCCACGTTATGTTGTCATCCTGCGTAGCTCCATGTGGCCGGATTGGCGCCGACAGAATGCACCACGCGAATCGCGTGCATGAGCCTGGGGGCACACCGAGGAGCGTGCTGCCGTGCGGCGCCCCCCCAGCGACCCCCCTTCTGAAGGACGTGGTGGTGTGGGTGCTGTGGCGTAGTGCCTCCCCCAGTTCGGAGGGGCGCCAGGGTGCGTGCTGCCGCGCGGCGCCTCCTTGACGTTTGCCCTCCGTGCTGAGGGCCTGGCTGCTGCCTCTCAGCGCCCCGCCCCATGGTCCTCATGGCTCTGCTCTTGCACGGTCTTGGCTCGGACATTGCTAAGCTTATGTCCGTAGCCCTTGAGGCTCAACGAGGGGCACTGCACACACGGAGCCAACAGAAAAACGAATTCGATATCTTATCGATCCCACAACCGATCAGCCCGCGCGCCTGGCGCTCCGGCTGTTCAAAATTGGCCCCGAGTGGGGCCGCGTTGTGAGACGGGTGGCGATGACCTGGACGACAAACGCGATCATCCAGGACATCAAGATCCAGGGCCAGCCGGCCGGGTACAACTACGACGCGCCATTGCCCAATGGCGTTGCAAACATCCGTACCCGACTGTGCTGGGAGCAGCCGGGACCGACTCTCTTGGGAGATGGCAGCTCGCGTCCACGCTCAGGGCGAGCGGCGATCATCGACGGCGATCGCCCCCCTCCCCCTTCGATTGAGCGCGGCCGCGTGCTCCCTTCTATTCCCGGATTTCCGACACTTAGCTCACCTGAGACAGAGCGACGCGCAGCGCGACCAACGGATGCCATAATCAAACAAAAAGAACACAGAACGCAGGCAAGGAAGCCGGCATCAAACCACGCAAGATACCCAACATAGTCGTAGAAGGCAACGACGACTGCGGAGACGACCTGCAAGAACTTGGGCGTAGCACGCACTACACCGACGCACCCCTGGACCCCGACGCGGATAGCGACGGCGGGGAGGAGACCTTCATCGGATTACCTGCGGGGCAACCTGCTGAATCCGATGCAGATGTATTCCCCATAATCCCCACCTTGTGCTACGGACGGCACAACAAGGTATAGATGTTAGAACTGCGCGGAAGAATGGGGAGCATTTCTCAGCGAGCATTCAGCCGAGGTCTGCCTTCAGGGGAAACCTCGACAAACGCACTTTCGTTGATCTAGGCAACGAGGATGTCCAAGATGCAGCGATGCATTATCTAGACGTTTGTTTCGTCGAGGTTGTCGTGCCACAGCCAAACTTCAGAAAACAACTGGTTTATTTCCCTATTCAGCGCAAAGTTTAACCATGACAGCTGGCATGAACATCATAAAGAAGACTTACCACATATCAAGTTATGTGGGAGGGCGGCTGCGCGTCGAAATGAGATTCGACGATATTACTTACGAGAACAACCAGTAGGGACTTGGGTGGATCAGATACCACCGTGGACTCCGTTGGCCACAAGCAAGGGCACTTGCAAGGTGAACGTGGACCAATGCACTACTGGCTTACGTGACTTCCACGGGGCACTGATGCGACAGCCGATGGAGATCATGGCCAACCATCGCCTGTTACGCGCCAATTTTGAAAGAAATCGATGTGCTGGCCATCATCAACACGCGTCGGTATGTCAGAAGGAACTGCCCATGGCTGCGCTGTTCAGATCGCGCGCGATTTTTGCCAGGCAACTCGTGATCCTTTCCATGGCTACCCATATTCGTCCACCGCGTTGGTCAATAACGCATGGGGGTGCGATTTGGATGACCCGAGTCTTCCCCGACAGCCTGATGGCTCGATTGCGAGACCACCATCGGGAGGGCTCGGTTGTCCTGCTTGCGCGGGCAACGTTAACATGCACTCTCCCTCTCATGATGGAGATCCGAGACACTGCAGGTGGTGCGATAAGGGCGACTACAATTGGGAATGTCCGAGCTGCAAGCAGAACTACGGGAGAACAAGCCTGGGCACGCACTAACACTTGGCAAGTGCAAGTTTGCCAAGCACTGGAAGTTGCCCGACAATCATGGACAGATGCCGCCAGTCCCCGCCGAGCCGGCAGCAGGACCTGCACCGCCAGATCCTGAGGTAGAAGCACCACCACCCGAGGCGCAGCAGCATCACCACGTGCGTGGCTGAGGGCACCGAGACCCGGCTCGAGAGCCGGACCTACTGCGGGCGCAAGCAGTCACGACATTACGGTTGGAAGACATGCTCCTGAGCCTGCTGCAGGGCAACCTGCCTCGAGTGGAGCTGGTACTTCGGATGGCCATCTCCGACTACCACAGGTTAGAGTCAGACGTGGTCGACAACGAGGTGGCGAAGCACCTCCACCACCACCAGCGGGGAACCCTGCGGCACGACCACGACTACCAGACTGGTCACGGTTCGATGTACAAATCAGTTTTCAAAACCTACGAAGCCTTGACCCTAGCGTGGTACATGTGAATGAGCCTAAGACGAGACTCATCTTAAGCAAAGTAGGTCTGAACAAAGTCAGACTCAAGCTCATCAAAGGTGTCTGCGACACATGCCGAGAACGCAGAGCTTGGGACAAGCCTGGACGCGCTGTTATGCCCACTACTGCATTACCTGGCACATTCAATGAGGAAGTGGAATGTGATCTGATGTTATACAGACAAGAAAACAATATGTTCCACATTATCGTCCGCTGTGTACGGTATGTTGCTGGGATTGAAATACCAAACAAGACTATGACCAGTACCCTGGATGCATATTTTCAGCGCTGGACGCAGGTTGGACTGGCCAAGGCACTTTACTTTGATAGAGAGGGTGCCCTTAACAAAGACACTGCGAAAGCAGTCCTCAAGGCAAGCGGCACTGAACTTAGGATACGTGCGCGTGGACAGCACGCTACAACGATCGATGCCAGAAATGGCATCCTACGCCATCTACTTCACGTCATGGAGGCTGAACCCAACAGGTTAGACATACCTCTTGTGTTCACCCGATTACTGCACGAACCCTAATTCGCCGCCAACGCGTTCACATTCTATCGCGAGGTGTCTCCATACAGCGCTCTATTTGGACGGCAACCAGCAATGCTCCCTGACCTCCCTGTTCTGGGCCACGGGCAGCCGACGGAAACATCGGATCATTCTCGTGAACAGACGTCACGCAGGGTATGTATTGAAGCTTTCACACAGGCCACAGCAGTAGCTAAGACCAATCGTGCATTACGCACTAAGACGACAATTACCGGTCAGCACTATTCTGACGAAGGAGATGCGGTCGATTACCATCGCCCTACGACCGCAAAGGATGACTGGGGAGGCTGGAGTGGCCCGCCCCCAGTCGTAAAGAATGAACCCAAAAGGGGTCAGGTCATCATCCGAGCGGGCAATCGAGACGTTCAAGTACAATACGGCGACGCAAGGCATTCATTATACATTGAAGCAATCATAGCCCGAGAAATTGTCTCCGGCAACACTGCACTACGCACAGTGCTAACATGCGTAGCCAGCCTATCAGCGAGGAGGCCTGCTTTGACCTTTGGCTACGTGCTGACCAAGAAAGGGGCGCTTCAGATGACGACCGCAAGCCGTCCATCTCCTGAGGTACACTTGGCTCTACAATATCTTACCAGAAACTTCCTTCGCATTGAGAATGTAGTTCCAGTCAAATTAGCCAAGAGCATCCATGCGCTACCTCCGGTTACTTATGCCGGTTGCTGCACGTGGGTTCATTGCGACAACGACGTGAAACCAGGATTTCATTATTACGAAGCAGAAGGTACTGCTTCGAATATACATGATATAACTCGATCAGCACATGCACGAATTATCATATGCTTGAAGCCCACTAAACCTCAAGCAGGTTTTGATCAGGACATACACAACATTTGACGAATTGAAAGATACACCGACACCGGATGGACCGCAAGGGAAGCCTCAGAAGCCGCACCAGCACACGATGACGGCCGGCTCTCTACGATTTACGAAGAATCAGAGGCTGAACTTGAGTCGCGTGTTATGGAGGTGCGGCATGCAGAACTACATGAGAAAAGGGAACTGTTGGAGGCAACTCCACCAGAGGACTTTTTTACCATGCCTACACATATGGTTCCAGATCAAAGCGTGCTGATCACTGTAGGTGATGAACAGCGGGGACACCTGCCGAAGTGGTGGCGCACTCGCGACTCCGATACCGAGCAGGCGTACTACGCCCCCATGTGCAAAATGGTCGAAGACGGCAGCTACGGACTTGACTCAGACGGAAATTGTTGATACGTCGAACTATGCTTTACGACAGAACTGTCGAAGGTAGTCTTGTCCGCGCAACAACGCATGATACTAGATGCCGGCCGGGTGGCCACTATGCGAGTATCCGTCGCTGCCGCTGCAGAGCGAGCTGCGGTCGTCAAGGAAGACGACCTCCTCGCTAAAGGTGACATTCAGACGAATCCCGATAAAGCATCGAAGGCCTTCTACACTGATCTCAAGACATGGTTCGACAAGAAAAGCTTCAAGATGCAGGAGATATACGAAGCGTCGAACATTATGACTTCGAGATACGTGTACACATGGAAGTTCGTGAAGAACGAGGAGGGCGAGATGGAACGTACCGTCCAATTCCGCTTGGTCATCCGAGGCTTCGTGGGCCTTGAAGATTTCGACGTAGAAACATGTTCGGGGGCAGCAAGACGGCCAAGCCAGAGGTTACTCGCTAGCAGGGCAGCGTGCAAGAAGCAGTGGACCATTGCTTCCCTCGACATCTACATGGCCTTCCTGAAGGGATTGGCCTATCAGGAACTTGCTGAGGCTACTGGTGAGAAGGAACGTATGGTGTGTTTTACTTTGCCGCCTGGATCGGCCACAGTGCTCCGGGCTCTCCCAGGATTCGAGCACTACGACGAGTGAAAGCACTGGCTACAGTGCGTAAAACCAGGCACAGGCACCGAAGACGCTCCATGGGCTTTCTCACTTAAGCTCAGAAGAACCACCAGAGGATTTGGTCTCCGACCCACGTCCTACGACGGGGAGTTCGAGACGAGCAACAAATGGCTCACGGCCAAGCACGTCGATGCTATGGATACGGCCGGCACGGAGGACACCATTGACAAATGTGTCAAATGTGTTGGAGATACCTTTGGTAAGTGTAAACTCATCAAGCACGCATGTGCCACATGTGCCGTGTGATGTGCCAAGGGCGATGACGGCGATGTCACTTTGGATCAATATGCATATATACAACAGCTCCATCCTGTACAACATCCCGAACTAACCGGCGCCGACGCTGACGCTCAGGCAACCAAGATGGTGGCAGACGTGTTCGTCAGCCTCAGGGGTGCGCTGGCATGCGCACTAATCACCCAGGTGCGGTTAATGGTTTATGTTGCATCTTTACAACGCGCCCAAGAACCGACCAACATTCAAGCGCGACGACTGAACGCGATCACCAAAAAGCTGATGGCCTGCCCGAGGAAGATCGTCTACCGGGCGATGAACCCCACGGGCGAGGTCTACCTACATAGCGACTCAGGGTATCGACGCCTGAGGTGAGACGCCGATGACGACGTCAAAGGCTATGGTATGCGCGCGGCAAACCTGCTACGACGTGGAAACACGTTATCTGGTAAGCCTGACGTTCACTTGATTGATGCGTACTGCAAGTCTTACCGCTTGCAGGTCCGCTCGAGTTATTCAGCAGAGACACTAGCAGCAGCTCATAATTTGGAGGACTGCTATCCCTCGACGGTGACTGTGCACGAGCTCCACGCGGGGCCACTCACGAGATCTACTTGAGTTGGGTGGCTTGAGCATCAAGGTCGCTTTGGCCATTGACACTGAGTCTGTTTTTAAGTCCTTGTCAAGCAAAGACTTGAAGAAGCCGACCGAGTGTAACCTTTTAGGGCACATCAGCTGGATACGACAGATTATGGAGCGCGGAATTGTGCATATCATTCAGTGGTGTGCTACCCGCGATATGACTGCGGATGGCCACACCCAGGGGAGCATTGACAGAGACATGCACCTACAAGCCATGGGAGGCATACAGACCTTCAAACATGACCTGAAGAGACATACTCCATATCGGGCCGGGCCGACACCAAAATCTGACGCCGCCTGATGAGTACGTCACATACATGCGAGGCAACTTGCTAGCGGGTCCACCTACCTTTAGGCCCGCTTCCTTTTCTGTCCTTGGGTAGGTTAGCTGCTGCGCGTGCTGTATAGGGGCGACGGGCTCACGCTTCGTCCCCCCCCCCCCCCTGACTCTAAAGCGAGCTGAGGGGCGTAAGGAGTGGAAGCGAGCGTGCGCCCGCGGCCGCGTCGGCTCAAGCGGCCGGCCGCTTAAATTTGACTGTGCCTCACCGGGTGGTATACAATCGCTATCGAGACCAATCGGATCTTCCTATCGCTTGAAATGGCATCTCCTCCCATACTGGGACTATCGCTACTACGGTACAACAGAGTTTGAGCTTGCTTTCGCCGGAGGCGAAGCTGTTGGCTGGGCCTTCCAGCCCCCTTCAAACTCGGAAAGCCGAGAAAGCGAAAAGGCCAAAACCTTCAACGACGTTGGGCAAATCGTTGATGTTTGCTTCGTGGAGCCCTCTTGGGAGGCCTCGTGGAGGCCTCTTGGACAGTCCCGGGAGCATGTTGGGCCGTCTTGGGGCCATCGTGGGACATCTTGGGCCATCTTGGGCCGTCTTGGCCTCCCGAGGCTCTCTTCGGAGCCTCGTCGGGCAATCTTGGAGGCCTCTCGGGCCATTCTGGCCGCGCGGTGGCGTCACCATGAGAATCTTGGGGTTGCCCGCAGCAGCCTGGATTTGAAGTTCACGCCCCCCCGTTGGCTGATTGGTGGTTCAGCGGGGCCCCTTAGCAGACAGTAGACAGAAGGCAAGAAACAGGACAGGAGAGACAAACTGCCAAACAACGAATGACAATACATAATACATGGCAGCTGACTGCACACACCTTCGCAGCCTTGCGCCCCTGGAGGGGGCCGGCGAACATATGTGTATATACATATATATATGTATATATTTATGCACATTTATATATATATATATATGTACATATACATGCATATATATATATGTGCATGTATGTATGTATGCAGGTATGTATGCATGCGTGTGTGTATGTATGTGCGTTTGTACGTGCGATGTATGTATGTATGTACGTATGTGTGCATGTATGTATGTATGGTTGTAGGTAGGTGGGTATGTATGTATGATTGCATGCATGTATGTGTATATGTGTATATACATGCATGTACGTATGCATGCATGTATGTATGTATGTATGTATGTATGTATGTATGTATGTATATATGTACGCATGTATGTATGCATGTATGTATGTATGTACGTACGTACGCATGTATGTATGTATGTATGTATGTATGTATGCATGTGCCCCCTTGCCAGGAACCACCACCCCGTGAGGTCTTTGGAGCCTCGTCCCTGGGAGGCAGACGGAGGCCTCCTCGTGGGCCGGAGGTGGGCCGAAAGCGTCCAACAACTTGCCGAAGCCCCCTCAAAGCCTGCCTTCTCGAGGCTCGGGTTTGACGGCTTCTCTTCGTAACAGTCTAATCGAGGTACGTCCTGTGAGCCGATGTAGATCCGGATGGGCTGGCGTCAGTCTGCAGAGTCCCAGGCCAATCTGAAGACATCGCGGAAACTCCAGCGCGACTTCAGAGACAGCAAAAGTCGTTAGGCCCTCAACGGCACCATCGCGCCTCGGCGTCCAGGCCGCGAGGGCACGGACGTAAATCTGCTCGTCGCTCGTGGCCTTCCGCCCGGCGCGAGGTGCGCAACCTGCAGTGCCTTCACAGCTTGAACGACGAGGTGCTCGCTTTGCAGTCCCAGCTGCGCGGTCTCGTGACGCAGGGCGAGAGCATGCGCATCCCCTCCGTGACCGCTGCGGAGAAGGATTCTGCCGCCGCCCTCGCTGTCGCCCGCCTCCTGGCAGGACGCCGCCGACACCGACGCTTCCACCCTGCTCCTCGCTGCCTTCCCCCCCCTTCCTGGACATCCGACGGTGCGACTTCTCCACTCCGAAGTCCTGACTCCTCCCCCTGGAGTAGTTTTTCGTCCTGGATCCATTTTGATGGCCCCAGGGCCCAAAAACACGGCCCCCAGATGCCGTTGATAAAGGAATCGCGCCGCGATTGTACAAATCACATCGTCGGATGCCGGAGTTTGCGGCTCTCGTGGAGCGGAAGACCTGTGTGTGTGTGTGTGTCGATGCAGCGCTGGCCAGCGCGGCCAGGCGACACCGCGCCGGCCAGCGCGGGAGGCGTTGGGAGCCTGGCAGCTTGGCCAGAGGCCCTGGCAGCGGAAGCCGACGCTGTGGCGCCCAGCCCTGGGCCACTGGGCACGCGTGCGGGCCGAACGGCACTTCGACGGGCCAAGATTTGACCTTCTGATGCGCGTCTGGCTCTGCGAGCATCCTCCGTGCACTGAGGCCGCGGCCTTCCCTCGCGGCGCGCTAGCCGCGCGCGAGGGCGTTGTTCCCCTCCTGCCTCTGCGGCGGCGTCCTTCTTCGCTTCGAGTCTTTCTTGCATGGAGCTCAATTCGCGTCTGCGTGGACCGCTCGCGCCAGACGGGCCCAGGCCTTGCCCGCGTCTGCTGACCAATCGGCTTGTGCACGAGCGCGGGCCATCACGGCCAGGCTCGGAGCGCATGTTGCGCATCCTGCTTCGTCGCCCTCGCTCCTGATATACAGCGGACATTCAGTTCTGTTCTGTCCTGACTTGAATGGTTGGGTCCTGACATCGGCCATCAGGGCAGGTAACAGCAGCGCCGATTCCGGGCACAACTTCCATCAGCGGCATGGGTCATTGTTATCTAATTGCAGGTGCATGTTGGATAGTTGTGGGAAGATCGTGGGAGGCCTCTCGGAAGTTTCTCAGAAGCGGTTCTGAGAGTGTCTTGGGGCCTATTGGGGGCCTCTTGGGGCCTCTTGGGTCCTCTTTGGGCCTGATTCGGGCCGCTTGGGGACCTCCTGGAGTTCTGCGGGGGCCTGTTGGCGGCCTGCTGGCGGTCTCGGGGGTCATCTTAGGGCGGAGGGCGCGAGATGTTAGTTCGACCGTTTGGGGGCCCTCTTGGGCCATCTGGGGGCCCTCTTGGGGGCCTCTCGGGCCGTCTTGGGGCGACATTTTGGGGCCTTTTCTGTCGTCTTGGAGCGTCCGAAGCCCGGCAAGGCGACAGCACTATTTCTTAAAACGCCAAGGAATTAATATTTGAGATTCTCGGGGACCTTCTGGGGGGCGCAAGGGCGAACCAGGAAACACAGCCGACGACCAGGACATCCAGCTTCGAACGGGGAAATGTTCTTCGGTCGAGAGGGGTAATTATCGAAGACGCCTACGGCGAGTCACCGCCGCCCCCTGCCTTTTTGGAAGCGCCTATGTGACCGAACGTTGAGGCCATACCTGCCAAGCTATCGGACCATGCGTTCCCCGAATTGGTTTGGAAAGCCTTCAGGGAACACGTGGGCATCTTGAAGGTCATTTTGGCCGTCGGTAGGTCATTTTGACCCTTCCGGGCCTTCTTGGAGGACGTCTTGGAGGGCTCTTGGGCCGTTTTGGAGACCATCTTGAGCATCTTGAAGGCCTCTTGCGCCGTCTTGGGGGCCTCTTTGGGTCGTCTTGGGCCTCTTGGGCGATCTTTGGGGGCACTTGGGTTGTCCCGGGCCGTCGGAAGGCCGAAAAAAAGCAAATGCCACAATCCTTCAAAAACTCATGGGACATGAGTGATTTTTGCATTTTAGGGCCTTCCTGGAGGCCCTCTTGGAGGCCTCTTGGGCCGTCGTGGGCCATCTTAGGGCCATCTTCGGCCGTCTTGGTGGGCTCCTGGCCTGGCTGACGACGTCGGAAGCCGTTTGGGGGGCCTCTCTGGGCCGACTTGGGGCCCTCTTGGAATGCTCCAGGGCCGTCTTGGAGGCCATCTTGGGCGTCTTAATGGCCTCCTGGGCCGTCTTGGGGGCCTCTTGGGGCCATCTTGGGGCCTGCCGTTCTGGAGCCATCTTGGAGGCCTCTTGGGCGATCTTTGGGCGATCTTTGGGGGCTCCTGGGTTGTCTCGGGCTGTCGGAATGCCGAGAAGTCGTTCATAAGGCAACAAGTGTTTTTGGCCTTTTTCTGGCCTTCCTGGAGGCCTTCTTGGAGGCCTCTTGGGCCGTCTTGGGCCAGCTTCGAGCCAACTTCGGCCATATTTGTGGGTGCCTGGTCCGTCTGGCGCCGTCGGAAACCGTCTTGGGGGCCTCTCTGAACCGACTTGGGGTCCTCTTGGGGCGCTTCGGGGCCGTGTTGGAGGCCGTCTTGGAGGTCTCTTGGGACGTCTTGGGGCCCTCTTTGGGCCGTCTTGGAGGCCTCTTGGGCCGTCATGGGGCCCTCTTGGAGGCCTCGTGGCCGATCTTGGGGCGATCTTGGCGGCCTCTTGGGTCGTCTCGGACTCTAAAGTGAGCTGGGACAATGGCGAGAGATAGCGAACGTTTGTGTGCGGCCGCTTGGGCTCAAGCGGCCGGCCGCCAATCTATGACTGCGCCTCATAGCGAGGCACACGACTTGCCATCGAGACTGAACACATCTTCGCTTGAGATGGCCCGCCGTTTCCGCGACGACCTCCTACGTCTGGGACTACCGCTGCTACGGCACAACAGAGTTGGAGATGGGCTTCGCCTTAGGCGAAGATGCTGGTTGGGCCACCCAACCCTTTTCAAACTTGGTAGCGGAGCTGGCCTATGGTGGTCATCTCTCGCTCTACTCCTCACCATCCACGGCGCTATCTGGTGTACTACTGACATGGTGGAACATCAGGGTGCTGTGGGTCTGCGCGGAGGAATGTACATACAGTCGGGGCCCTGAAGAAGGAATCTTGGTTGGGGAGGGGCTCCGCGTTCCGTAAGTGTTTCACAGATTGCTTCATGTATTCCTTATGTTTTCGATCGGAAATCGAAGCTTAACTTATGGAAAACAGGGGCCTCGTTCCTTAGTTATGGTTCCTTAGGTCAACGCCCCGACTGTAACTACGCACAACCGCAAGGACACGTGCAGTGCTACCTCTGATTTCGCGGAGGCCTTTTACTCGAGTCCTACATCCCTGCGCTATTACACTCCTGAAGACCAGCCACCTACTCCACTTGGAAGCTTTTTTGAAGATGCCATGCATGGCAACATGCGATACGATATTATGCCGCGTCCACTCCCACGCAGGCTAACAACAAACTACAACGCACCGCAGCCACTCATACCCGACCAAGACCTACGGGGCCATTGGATTGGCATTGCTACCTTTGGCCTTTATATGGTCGCTATCGGGCGTGCTGTGGGACGCGTGCGTGGCGGAGACGACGCAAGAACAACCCGCCCCCATAGGGATCCGGCCGGTCGAGTACCCTTTTTCCGCGAATTCGTTCGAGAGGTACATGCCTGGATCCATGTGACCGCAGGCACTATGACGCCCTCCCAAAAGGCTGCAGCACTGCAGTGTGGTCTGGGGGGTCTCGCACGGACCATGGCCATGAGAGTTCCCCCCGCGGTCATCAACTTTGGCGTTAACATTGGTGGTCGTCACACCGATGACGCCACCTCCATCATGTGCCTCCTTAGCACGAAGTTGGAGGACTTAGAGGAGGAACGCCAACTTAAATCGCGAACGGCTCTCATCGACTTTCGCGTCCATGCGGGAGAACGGATCGACCAGACATTAGCACGCTTCGACATAGCCCACTACGAGGCTTAAACGGCAGGCTTTCACCTCCCCAACTTCCAAATCCTAACAGTTATCCTGTTCAGAGCCTTAGGAGTGGGGATGTCGCGTGCGCAACGCCTCTTGCAGCCGCTCAACCACCACGCGCCGAGGAATTAGCAATGATTTGATGCTTTACTTGAACGCACGAGGTCATGCGCCCGCATTGCTGAGCGACCCCCAGGCAATATTGGCGGTATCTTTAGCCTCGGTCATCGCACCGAAACCTTTCACACTGAAACTAACGCAGGGTTTCCTGCTACAGTCGTCCGGAATGACGATCCGCAACCAGCGGAGACCACCACTTTATTTGCCCAAAATTGTGGCCTGCCTACGGGGTCGCAAGACTCCTGGGCTAGATAGCAGGGGCCGTCGTTAACGGCGGCCCCCGCGCCAGCCACTGCCCTCGTAGGCTCAGCGGGGCAGTCTGCCGAGTCTGACTTCGACTCTGGAATCGACGCCGACGCGTCTCCGGATGACGAAGCGACTGCCCTAGACTATTCCGGCATGCGCCCGTGCATTACAGAAGAACACCAGGCTCGATGGCTGTTCTTAGGGCATTAGGAACAAAAGCGCAAATGGATATGGCTTATGAAAACGCCAACATTCAAGGCACGACGTACTATCCGACGGGGACTTAGGAGAAAGGGCAGAGGCCGAGGCAAGGGGAAGTGCAAATGACGGCGAGTGCATGGCCGAGGTGCGCTAGCATTCCTAGCATCTCTTACTTGACCACAGCATGCAGAATTATTCCTGGGAGCAGGCAGGGGCCGCAGGCACGCCTCAGGAAAAGGGTCGGGGACGTCGGGGCAACCCGAAAGATGCGAACGGTTATTCCATAGAATGTGACATCTGCCATAGCACGCAACATTTCCGCCGCGAATGGCCCGGAGGCGATGGGGGGGACAGGGTTTCTTCAATGCATTTGGTTAAAACCCCTTCGGACATGCAGTGTGTCGACTGGGAGACGCCATTCGCCGACCTTGCAGACAATCCTACCACAGTTGTTAACCGATGGCTGCCTGGCATTTAAGTGCCAGCGTGTCCCTCGAGATATGCGCCGATGAGCTCTTCGAGGAGATCTACGTTGGCCTCGGCGAGATAAACTGGCTGGGCATGCCCATCGCGGGGCAACCTGCACATGCCGAATTGGTTGAGGATTTCCATTTACCCGCCGACG